CGCGCCGCAGCGCCCCCTGGCGGCTGGGAGGACCGCAGCGCCCCCTGGCGGCTGGGAGGACCTCACCCCACCCCCGACCAGCCCTCCCCTCTTGCTCAAAAAGCTCCAAACACCCCTCAAATGTGGCTTCCGGGATGACATCAGGGATGACAACTCTCTGCTGCTTGAATATTTCGCTTTGTTTTATTCAAACGCCGGAGGTGAAGTACAAACTGTAGTTACACAGCATTTTGTTTCCTTAAAAACAGTTCTCGGTTACAGAATTCCAAACAACTTCCAAAACTAAGTTGTTGAACAGTTTTGCCTGAAATATTGGGTTTGTTGGTTGTTGTGTTTTTTTTGTTTTGTTTTGTGTTTTTTTTTTCAATCCGTTTAAAAAAGGATTAAAGGAATTAAAAGCTGTTACTTCGGGGGTTTTTCACTCTACAAAAAGGAAAGTGAGGATGCAGTTACAGGTAGTTCACCACGGGTTCCCCATCTGAGGAGACTGAGCTTCTCTTGGAAATATCCTCAATTCTGAAAGCAGCTTTTTCCAAACTATTAGTGGGTCATTTCATGTGGAAAAAAAAACCCTGAATTCCTACAGGAATAGGGCTACAGCTGCAGGTCACATCACTGCTAGGAAAGCACAAGAATTCCATGAAATGTACATGACAAAAATTAACAATCAAAATAGGGGCAACACATCTACAGTCTCCTGCCTGTCCTAAAACAGCCATTGAGGCAAGTTTTATTTAATATAGTAAAAATTTTAGAAAAAGGTGAAAATGAAATTTAAGTCTGTGTATCACCAAAGGACAAAACAAAGTTGTAAGCAACACTTTTAATTCCTGAAACAAATCAAAGACATACAGGTCCTTTAGTGTTTTTCACATAGACTTTCCTAAAGGATTGAATTAAGTTTGGTGTAGAACAGAAGAGGGAGAATTGCTTTGCTGTGAGACTAAAAAAATCAACAACAAAACCACAAGATGCAATACTAGCACTTGAGCATATAACTTAAAAAGCACTGTGTCATGTGAACAATCACTACTGATTACATCAAAAATATTATACATTTACTTCTTTCATCTCTTAACATTATTAAGATAGGCTGGGCAAATACCTGGCACCAAAAAATTGATGCATGATAGTTCCAATACGTTAAACAAAATGTACTATATTAGAACATTAATATTTAAAAATTTATGTTGACTTTTTGTCCCAATTCAGATGGCTTAACCACTTCCCAGAAATCCTGTTTAACCTTCTGGAAAAATGAGAAAATTGCTGACTTCCCCTTCTTTCACAGTATTTAAGGTGACTGAAACCGACTCCCAAAGAAGAGGTGAAGGAAAGGGTATTATTATCTGATATTGCATTCAAACGACTGTAACAAACTAGTGTCACATTTTAGCAAAATCTCCCAGCAGTGTCACCGAGTGTGTCTCATTTTTCCCAAAATCCTGTTGCAAGGACTTCCTCTCCTCCCCTTCCCCAAAATGTAACAATCACTCCAGCACCCATCGAGTTTCAAACACCAGCAGAAACCTAACACTGACCTGAACGCAGCCCCCTGTGGGTCGTATGAGGAGCTGGTAGTTTACTCACCCTCTACTAATTATTAATCTTGATTTCCCATTTGTAGAGTAACATTATTGTAAAATCTAACTATTGGCAGCACCTGCATTGCTGGTTTAGCTCCTAGAAAGAGCAACTCAGGTGCTGCTCTATTTGCTATACATTTTAATTGAACAAGTGTCATATACAATTCATATTTGAACATTATGCCATCCAAGTCCCCACAATGTCCATCCAATGAATCAATGGGATGTTGCAATAAAATACACAATCTGATTTAGCTAATAAAGTTCCTCATCACGTAGCCTATCCGAGATAGATCCAATGCCTTTAAGGATAAGACTGAAGCCAGAGGCAATCGGAAAGGGAATAACCAAGTGTGCTTGGGCGACCATTCTGACAGTATTTAATGGTTTGCAGCATCTGCTTGTCGAGGCCAGCCTTCCTCCTCAACTCCAGAGTCATATTCTTCTTCAGATGAATCTTTAGTGGGAGCCCTATAATTAAAACAAACTGATCAGATACTTTAGAAATGGAGGAAAACAATGGACACAGTTGCCGCAGCTTCTGGTAAACCTGCCACCTGCAAAGTGCCCCCAGGACAAAGGTTCTGACAAGCATCCACCTGCTAAAAGACCTTCTGAGAACACTGCTGTGCAGGTTTACACTGCTACCAGTTCAGCCTCATTACTGGCAATCAAAAGGCTACTGAATTCAGTTAAGTGATTTGATTTAATCAGTAAATTTAACACTTCCAGCAAACACAAATGCTGGTGCTCTACAAAATCACTCCAAGCAACCAGCAGTGTGGCCATAATCCCTTCCCCAGCAGCCAGCCCCCCTGAAACACCCGGTGTGCTGAGCCAAGCTCCAGCACAGACACAGATGAACACAAAGCACTGGCCTCAGTGGAGAAAGTCACTCACAGAAGTTGTCAGAGGTAGAAACCAAGTCAAAGTTTCTAATTCTCAACCCTGCAGTTTCGCCCTGACCCATCCCCTTTCAACTCCACCCTTTGCTCACTATTTTTCATTTTTCTTTCTTTAATCTAGATTTGTCCAATGCTCTCAGCATTCCTCATCATTACCATAACAACAACTTTACAACATTAAATTGAGTATTTTAAGAGTCCAGCAAATCAACAGATGTGTCTTTTTTGGCCTTCCACTGCTGCAAGAGCAACAGAGAGAAAAACTGCAGCAGCCTGGAGCTTTCTGTAAAAAAACCCAAACAACTCAGAGTGGTAGAAACTAGAAGAAAGAAGGGAAATGTTCTGTTTCAGAAACTTTAGCATAGTCACAATTACACTTCAGATTTTGACTGTTAACTTATGATGTCCATAACGTACTTCTATTTCTACAGGCACACACACACACACAAAAAGCTTAAAGTAACTTCACATATAAGTTTATTTTAAAATTTCTATTAAAAAACTAAACAATACAAACCCAAGGTCTCTAGACAGAACAGGCACTAATTCAGCTGTGTACAGTGTACAGAAAATTGGATCCTTTTTAGGTTGTGTGCATGGTTTTGTGTTTCTATGTTTGTTCCTATGGCAAACATCAGAATACCTGTCTAGTTGTACTACTGGTCTGTTCTGATACTTCTGGTATGATTTTACCTAATGTATCCTGGCTCTTTTTTGCCTTCTACAACATCTTTGTCAACTTCCACGCATACAATGTCAGAATTGGGCACTTCAAACATGGGCTCCAGCAACAGCTTTTCCTACAAGAAAACAGAGGAGGAAAAAATATTGACTGTATGCCCTCTGCTCCAGAACAATATGGTTAACAAGTGGGTTTTCAGAGCTAGAGGGTTCTCTTGGAAAAGAAAGACTTAGGGTGTCCATATAAGACCAGAATTGAGATTTTGACTGAAAGCTCTTACAATTGAGTCCACATACATGAGCATAGGTAGCTTCAAGTATGAGACTTGATTTACTCACCATGATAGACCGAAGACCTCTTGCACCAGTTTTTCTGTCCAAGGCCAGTCTGGCTATAGCCTTCAATGCATCTTCAGTTACATTTAATTCACACTACAGGGACAAAAATGGTAAGTTTAGTTAATTATTCATTTACCTCTCAACAGGGTGTTGAGTGCAACAGCACAAGCCTTACAAAAAATAACAAACCTGTGATTTACCTGTCACAGACCAGAAGATTTAACATTTAAGCTACATACAGAAAAGCTTCAGCTACACTTTTTTTTTAGCAATGTTACTGGTATTGACTATGTCCCTTTATCTACAACTACTCAAGTACTTCTACAGGACATGGAGGGGCTCTTGATGCCTATTAGACAAGGTCACGGACGTTCATTTGAACGTTAACATGAAGAGCTCAACTAGTTCCAGATTACTTGCCCCACAAGGACAGTTATCCAATCTAAACCAGCCAGGCTTTCACAAATTAGCTGATTTGTTGTTTTTCTTCCAGAGTGGGGAAGTGCACATGTGGAAGGAAGAAGTTATTTCAGTTGATCTTTTAGATAGCTGTAACACTGATGTTATAAACAAGAATACTGAGGAGTCATTAAATAAAAATTCAGACCTTATCCATGCTGAACAGTGCCTGGTATTGAGGGACCACAGCATTTCGCGGCTCTGTAAGAATCCGTACGAGGGTTTTCTCATCTAGGCTGTGCAGAGGAACCACCACAGGCAAACGTCCCACAAACTCAGGGATCATGCCAAACTCAATCAGATCCCTGGCTTCCACGTGGCGCAGCAAACGATCCTTTTCTTCAATGTCCTCATGAGGATCTGACTCTCCACTTATATTTGCAAGATCAGCTGCTGCTGCAGCCCTTCTGCCTTTCCCCATGTTAGCTGGTGTCCCAAAGCCTAGATACTGCAAAACAAACGTGTTGTGCTTACAGTACTATAATAGTTTTCTTATCTAACTAAATCACATTCCATATGCATTAAAAAATCTGGACTATGTCATGAGATATTAATTCAACCTCAAGAAATTACTTCTAGCAAAAATATACACATTGCACAAAATCAATTTCTTGTAGCATTTAATTCCCTCAGTAAGGTATCAACACATTTGACTGAGTAAAAGCAAGTTTTTCTTAAATTAAAAAAGGTTTGTAACATGTCCTGATAAGTTTACAATTACCAGTGACACTAAAAAGGGCTCCGTGGCAGCGAAGCAAACTCATGCAAAAATGCTTACATGAACAGCTACACGAATTGGCATCAAAAGACTTGGATTTCTGTCAGAAACAGGATGCATTGGCTCTGTGGCAGTGAAGCAAACTCATGCAAAAATGCTTTCATGAAAAGCCACATGAATTGGCATCAAAAGAGACTTGGATTTCTGTCAGAAACAGGATGCATGTTCTGTCAGAAAGATGCAGCCAGAAAAGCTCTGTTGCCTGACATTAATACACAAAACAGTGAACTGCATGACTAGATACTTGAAGACACTATAGAGTTTTTAGCATAATTCTCAAATAGTTTGAGAAAATGAACAGTAGAAAAAGGCTTTTCTCAGTTTCATACTTGGTTCACTGAAAGAAACCCCATTATAATGCCTAGAACTGCTTCACAGAATCTGTTTTCAAGAAACACAGGACATGACAACAATGTAAAACAATGTCCACTTGGTAGCAAGTCCCCTTTCAACAGCTTTCAACCCTCCCCTCCCTATTTTTTTCCTATTTCCACATACTAAAAATGACTCTGTGGAAGCAGAGACCACTACGAGCTACTTAAATCCTACTAACAATAGGCTTGTTCTCTGCTACCTTGCCTAGGCTTGACCTCAGGTTCCCAGATAACAGATGGAAAACCAGGGCTCTACAAACATAGTGTATTTACAAATACAGCAAGAGCTTTAGGAGTCAGGACTGTGAACAGTAATTAAATGATAATTTTTCAGTTCAAATACAGTCTGATGTACTCACTTTTTCATTTTTCCTCCTGCTGATAATTCTGTCAAGACCATTAAAAGCACCAGAAGCTACAAAAAGGATGTTGGTTGTGTCAACCTGCACCGTTTCTCCACGTAGTTTACGAGAATTCTTTTCTGGAACATTTACTATTGTGCCTTCTAGTAATTTTAACAAGCCCTAAGGAAGAAAGTAGAAATGTAATATAAAACTGCACAGTGTAGCATCATAAAAGAAGGCACACCATACTGTGCTTACTTTCACAGATGTATGTGTATTTTTTTAATCCGTTTTGCCTTTATAGTGTTTAGAGAATCCAGTTTCCCACACGAGACAAGCAATCACATTCCAGGATAGACAAAAATCTTCCTTTAATGTGACTCCTATGCATGTTCTGAGCTGCACTTGGGAATTGGTTGCTTTAAGAGGCTTGTCAAAATGGAAAATGTTCTCTCTTCTTGCCCACATTATGCAACTTGCTATTTGAATGCTGCAAAGACATTTTTCAATTCAAACATATCAAGCAGTCAAGTTGCTTTTAAGATATTTTCTTAATGAAAAAAGTAAAGAGGAAAGATAAGGATTTCAAAGGTTAATAATTAGGGAACTGAAGAACCGACTCTGCCCACTCCTGTGCTATTTGACACATGATAGGATGACATGTAGACTTGAGGAGCTGTTGGCTTAGGAAGCAAAATAAAACCCCTCCACTGAAGTACTTACTTGTTGAACCCCTTCTCCTCCAACATCCCGTAACTGGTGAATACCAGGAACACTGCCAATCTTATCTACTTCATCCAGAAAAACAATTCCTGCAGTTACAGAAAACAGATTTAAGGAAGACTCCACCTTTTAAGAGAAGCAAGAACTTACACACAGGGAATAATGACATTTAAGATAGCAGCAGCCTATTCTACTTCCACATTATAGATTGCAAAAGTGTATTAATAGAATATAAGCAAAACTATGGACAAGAACAATAACTACAGGGTAGGTCTAGAGCTCCCTTATTTCTGAGTTAAAGTGTTAAAATTTAGGTACATGCAACAGGAATGTCTCAAAGTTTAGAGCACTTAGGCAAGATTAACACAGCCTTTGAATGTACTTCAGGGAAGTTCAGAAGTTCACCTTGCTGAGCTTTTTCCACATTGTAGTTGGCATCTTGCAGGAGTTTTGCAATGACAGATTCAATGTCTTCACCAACATAGCCAGCCTGAGTCAAGGTGGTGCAATCACAGATAGCAAAAGGTACATCTAGGCATTTAGCTAGAGTCTGAGCCAGCAAAGTTTTACCTGACAAAACAAGAAACTCTGTAACTTCCATACATTTCTTTAGAGCACACAAACCCAGATATTTAACACAGGATCATCATTACAGTCATTAGACATGTTGAACAGTGCCAGCATGTTCATATGTTCATGTAAGAATATTTTCCAGGGAAGTCAGTTTTCATTAACAGTATTTTTCACACTGGCAAGCTGTATTTCAGAATTGAACTAACAGTACACGTTTGAGGGAGCTTGAAATCACAAATAAAATGTCACACAATATAAAAACCAAAACCATGTACTTGCACAGATTAAAGATTAAATAAAACTGCAGTCCTTTGCAGACACTCAGGGTGCAGTGCAAAGTCCACTTCCTCCTGCTTTGAAGTCGGGGAGAAACAAAATTAAAATCTTATATAGTGAATGTTCCCCCAAATAGTCTGCAAAATGCTTATAATTCCAGAACAATCATTCCCACTTCTTATGAACATACAAATATAATTTATTTTAACCCCCTGTGCAACTGATCTGTCCCAGAGGTGAAACAACACTAACTGCTTGCCATTTAAAGCAGAGAATTTTAAAATGTATTTTATTTCAGCTTAGTGAAAGCTGCATCTTTTAATAAATATAGGCATTAAAAAATGAAAAAAACCAACCACCAAAAGCAAACAAACCACCTGACCAGACCTCCTTCCTTTTCAAGACCATTTAAGCTCAGCTTGTTACCATGACATGAAAGCACAACAATCCCAGTTTGGAAATCACAGTTTAGCTTTTTATACACCAAACTGGAATAATCACAAAAGAGGAAAATCACTCATTAACAACCAATTCTAAGAACACACTGACAACTATCAAAACATGCAGTTTAATACCTGATCCAGTTGGTCCAAGCAGCAAAATATTACTTTTTTCAAGTTTTATGTCATCATTGGGTGAATCTAGAACTTCTCCTCCCCGTTTTTCCTGAGGTATCTGCTGGTTCATTTGTTGCTGCATCGATGCTCCCAAAGCATTTCCATGTGGACTGATTCCAGCAATCTGTAGTAGTTCTGAAGAGCACAGGAACAGTAGTGTTTGAGCACTGACAAGGTCTGATTACCTTAAATACACAATAAACCCTTAATTCTTTTGTTTTGTTCTGCAAACTTATAATTTTGCCTGTACAGAAGTGGACAGACAGGACTGCAGCAGAAATCTGGCACAGTTATTACAAAATCAGGAGTTCCAATCCTATTTCTGCACAATCACATATTTGCATATATGAAGAGAACTTCCCAGTGGTACAGGGGATTATCTAAAAATATTCCTCTACATTAAAAACAAAGAGAATTTTTCCATCCTTACAAATTGACTCGTTTTAACTGAGGCTTTTTACTTTTAACACAGGAGATAAATGCAAACTGCTGCTCTCTATGATGAAAAAGTACAAGGCCTGATATTCTGTAACAATTACAAAAGCAATGCACAGGTCTACCCTCAAGACTTAAAAACTTGCCTTAGACCAGTTGTTACAGGTTTTGCCTCTACACATGGACACAGAAATCGAGCTGGATTTTCTTTTTTCAGAGCACTAGAGTTTCAGTTGGCTTGCAGGATAGAATATTGAAGATTAAAAAAAAACTAGTTTGAAGAGGTATAACTGGGATTATAAATTGATCTACACTAGACTAAGGAATCTAATAATAAGCTCAATAACCAGTGAGAGTTCTGGTGAACTGAAAACCAACATGACTGACCTCACTCAGATTAAGAATAAAAAAAAAAAAAAAAAAAAAAAAGGCATTCTGAGGTTCAAGGTGATGGTGCCTTTTAAGAGTATAAACACCCTCCAGAAAAGAGTAGCCTAACTTCCCTTACTATCCACCTCCTATCATATCTTGTGTGGCATTTTTAATATAATCAGACCTCAGCTCTAAATTAAAAATAGATCTCAACTTCCACTTGTTCTACTGAGGACAACTCTAAGCACAGAGGATTATTTAACCAGCTTTGTAAAATGTATCCATTTTTCTTGCTTTCCACCTAGAACTAGATAAAGAGTCAGATCTTGGTCACCTCTGTTGAAAATACTCTCAGTGCCTGATGGTGCCTTTTAAGAGTATAAACACCCTCCAGAAAAGAGTAGCCTAACTTCCCTTACTATCCACCTCCTATCATATCTTGTGTGGCATTTTTAATATAATCAGACCTCAGCTCTAAATTAAAAATAGATCTCAACTTCCACTTGTTCTACTGAGGACAACTCTAAGCACAGAGGATTATTTAACCAGCTTTGTAAAATGTATCCATTTTTCTTGCTTTCCACCTAGAACTAGATAAAGAGTCAGATCTTGGTCACCTCTGTTGAAAATACTCTCAGTGCCATCAATTTAAGAAAAGCAAACAGGATTTTAGCCAGCATTTCCAAGCAGCCCTCACTAAAGGCTATTCTGCATTAACATCCAAAGAGTAGCTATTACAGAGGAGGACATGAGGAGAGAGTTCACTTACTTGTAAATCTGTACTCATCCTCCCGTCTTCTGATTTCTAATTCTAAGAGAGAGGATGAAAACAGTAATAAAAAATAAGTTTATAAAAGCTTAGAAATTCTCCACCTCTTGCCCTCTTCTGAATACAACTCATCACACTGTGTGGGAATGTATTTCTAACAAGAAATCTCCCAAACCCCAACTTGCACACTTAAAAAATGACAGCAAGCTTTCAGCTACTTAAAGTGGTAACAATCTATTACCTCTGATTAGATTTTCATTCCAAAGCCCCTTACAGAAAGGGGGAAAAATGCTACCATGTAACTTTGCTTTGAAAAGCCTTCCTTAAACTCTTACATTTGTATTTGAGTGTCATAATGTAAGATTTCACATATCCCAAAGTACTGTTATAAATGTTCACTGCCCTCCCTCTGGGTACACACCAATCTATCTTCCTGTGCCAGGTACAGAACTGCTCTCCTACCATTACCAGAAAAGTGCTACTAATGTTTCTCCCTCAGTTAAAATACTTCTTTATGTAAATTTAAAAAAACCCACAAAGATTCTTTTTGCTTAGCATAGTATTGATTGCAAGACAGAACAAAACACCTTAAAAAAATCAAGGTACGCTTTGAATCAGAGAGAGTAATTTAATCCTATTTCTAAAAATAAATTAGATCAACATAGCTACACACTTACTCAGTAGGAAAAGTACTGCCAGGAGTAACTCCATCTACACCTGCTAGATATAGAACAATACTGTGGTGACCAAGAGATGCTGCCAACAGCAGCGAGCCAGGCCAGAAAGTTCATTACATATCAAATTCATTATGCAAAATACTGTCTTTACGATCTGCACTGTTGCTTGCAGATTAAGCAGCAGATTTATTGTTAAGCAGTAAATGAGATTAGCGAGACAAGTTTAGGAGGCTCACTTCATAAAGCTGAAGGAAAATATCTGCTAACACGTGTCAGTAAAGACACTAACCACATAACATGGTAAAGGCAACATGCATGGCATTTGAAACCTCCTGGATTACTTTTAAATAAATCACAGAAGTTTACATACACTGAAAACTAAATAGAATAGAAATTATTTTAGATAAATTTCAATACAGAACCTCAAGGTAAAAAAAAAAAAAAATCTCCTTCAGGTTTCTTAAGTTAGAGCCCTGAAATGGTAAGTGTTGTTTTACTGGAAAAATCCCAAGTATCATACAAACCTCTGGGTGTTAAAGAAGTCTGCTTCTCAACTTCTGCTTGCTGTCTCAGGTTGGCTGGGATATTATTGTAGATTCTCTTGTAATGATTGTACACAGCAACTGAAAGCACCTTCTTGGCAAAACACTGACCAACAACGTATTTGTCGAGGTAGTTATAAATCTGAAAAATAACTCAGTTTTAGTAACACTTCTAAGCCAGCTTGCAGCAAAAAAGAAAAAACAGTATGTTGTGCCAAAGATTTGGTGTACTTTGTACACTGGTGGAAACCTGCCATCACAAAACTGAGAAATGGAAACCAAACCTCTAAAATACAAAAATAGATTCCTGTTGGTAAGTTTACTTAAAAATGTGGCACTTAACACAATCATATTTTGTCTGCAAGTTCTCCCCTAATATTTAAACCCATTGTCATTGTCACTCAAATTTGTAAGAGGAACAGAAATTTCAAGAATACTTAATTTCTTGAGAGAGGCCTATCCAGAAGACACCTGCAGCTTCAGGTACTACCATAGTCCACTAGGAACTGAGAAAAACAATAAGCTCCCTCACTATTCAGGAGAGGGAAACCAAATTACTTGAGAGGGGTCATGGCCACAAGCTGATCAGCCACAGCTCTTGGCCAGTGCCAGAGACAGGCCAAATAAAAGGTTCTGCAGCTACAGAAGGAACCTGCTAAGGACATAAGAATATGAGGCCACAGAGGGAAGTAAAAGATGCTCCAGTTGGTGAGGGCTGAGGTTAGCCTCAGGGTCACATGGAGAAAATGATGGTACTGGTCTTCAGTCACAAGACAATGGCAGAGAAAAACTAGCCCAGTTACTTTTATTGGATCTATTTATTCCCTTTATCAGTGCTCTGCTGGGGCACATAGCTCTCAAAGGTTTAATCTGGAGCTAACCATCTTTATTGTTAGTTGCTCTGTCACAGCAGACCCTTCCACACCTGACACAGACTGAGAACTGAACCACTGTCTACAGGAAATCTGGGGAGGGGCTTTTCACCAGAGGGCAGTAATAGGACAAGGGGTAACGGTTTTAAACTGAAGGAGGGTTGACTTAGGTTAGACATTAGGAAGGAATTCTTCACCATGAGGGCAGAAAGGCACTGGAACAGGTTGCCCAGGGGGGTTGTCGATGCCACTTCCCTGGAAGTGGCTGGATGAGGCTTGTGCAGCCTGGTCTGGTGGGAGGTGTCCCTGCTCATAGCAGGGAGGTTGGAACCTGATGATCTTTAAGGTCCTTTCCAACCTTCACCATTCCACGACTCTATGATTCTTTTCACCAGGCTGTAGTACAAGGAAACACTGGGGTGCAATAAGGAACCACACCTTTTTCGGTGGAGGCGGTGGCTTCTGCTGGAATGCCAATTTCACAGCTTCTGCTGCTGACTCGGGCTCTTTAATGATGCTCTTTTTTGTGTCTGCCTCTGACAGCACAACAAAGAAATGGTGACACTTTTCACACTTCACAAAACGGGTGGAAGCTGCAGAGAAAGTAAAACAAAACAGTAAGAAGAACTGATTTGACAGCTTTCGTTCAGCTGCCCGAGTTTGTCATACACAGGACACCTGTGGGACTCACTGACCCTTCAATCACCTTAGAAGCTTTAAAGGCAATTACTGGACTATAAAACTTGACACAGAGGGAATACAGTTTGCCTGAAAAGTCAGAATTCACAGCAGCAACCACACAAGGGATTAAAAAGCAAACATCTATTTGGTACTTATTCAGTAGCCCTACACTTGGAAGTAGAACTTTTGCAGATATGAAAGATGCAAAATTAATGAGTGCTTCCAACTATGTCAGAATTGTTCCTAACTCTCAAAGTAGCAGACAAAAAAGCACTGTGGTTAGGGACAGGCTGCTCTTAAGTACAGGGAAGTAATCTACTGTCTCCAAGAGAGCATGGAGCAGGTTTGGGAAGGACAGCTGTGTCACCTCCTGGTCACTGTGTCCCACTGGCTGGGGAACACTATGAAGCACAGTCCAGTCACCTAAGCCCAGGACATGGAGCTCAGCAGGGTCACACAAAGGTGTGTGGTTAAGGGCTCATCCCACCACGAGGCAGCTGTGCTGGGCAACAGATGAGCAGAGCATTGATGTTTTGCAAGATCTTTTGCTTATTTATTTTTACGGTCAAGAGCAGAACACATTTCTTTCACATTCCAAGAGTCAAACCCTCCTACTGCTGACTTTGTGAGCTGTGCCTCAAGAAATCATGTTATCCTCAAAGACTTGTTTCAAAAGCCCAAAAACTAGAACTTGAGCTATTTTTTTCCCTTAGAAAAACAAAGTTGAAAAAATAAAAAACAGACAGTGGAGAATAATAATTTTGTAAGTAAAAAGAGATACTTTCTGACCATATATCAAAACAAATCACGTGCAATAGGACTGATTTAAAGTAAATTTGTTAGTAAATGTATTAAATGAAAGGCAAAGTGAATGTAGCAAAACCACCACATGAAAAACTTCAATGTCAGAACTTCTGAAATCATAGAATGATTTTAGAAAATGGCTCCAACGCTGTAGTATCAGCTGATTTTAACAACAGCCTCTAGCAATAAACAAGTTGATTATTTATAACTTGTTGTTGCCTTCCACAGAGCTGGCATCAGCCACAGAGAAGTGGGGTGGTTCTTTCTTTTTGTAATATTAAACACTCCTTATGACTGGATAAGTAAGACCAGCAGATGATTTTAAGAATGAACCACATAATACTGTGTCCATCGCAGCTTCATTAACTCTACTCCAGAGAAAATTTGTGTCAAAGCTGGAAAGTTCTCCTGGCAATCTTCCAAATGATAGTTATCTGCCTGATGGGAATGCAATGGAGAACCACTTGTATGCACCCACCCCCCTTACAGAACTACTATTT